TCGGCTTGGGTGTAGAAAGAACCGTAGAGAGTAAGCCATGGGACTCAAAATGCGCAAGATCAACCCGGTATCGAGGCTTAAAGATACCCGCTTTGGCCCGTGTTATCATAGGATGCGATGGAGCCGTGGGTGACGTAGGTGGAGGGGGCGGAGTGTTCGGGTCAGCAGCCCCTTCGTCATCAGAAGACGAAGACGAAGAGCTGATCGAGGAGTCCGAAACAGAAGAATGGAGCGCGGGGGTAGGAGATGGAGCTGCCGGATCAGCGGCCGGGCCAACCGGGTCAGCCGGGTCGATGCTAGGCGGATCAGGCTCAGGGCAGGCCGGACACGGGCCAGAGGGAGCAGCCCCAGCAGATGCGAGGGGAGTGATCGGAGCCGGAGCAGGTACGGAAACAACTGGAACATCCGACAAAAACTCTTGCAAGCGAAGAGAAGCAAGCGGTATCGCAACGGTGGGGCCACCAAGCAGAATTTAACCTCATCAAACCGAGCATGGCGCGTGATAAATATGCGAGAGGACACCAGATCAAGGCATTGAAACCCTTTATATTGCGAGTGATAACCAAGAAATATGCACGGGATGCTCCGGGGTGAAAGTTTGTGGGGCGAATAGTCGCGCAAATATGGATAAACCCGACCCCCCAACGGGTGAAAAGTGTCATAAGCTGGAACTCGATTGAACAAGACTTCAAATGGTGATTTGGTGGCCAACACTTTGGTGGGCAAACGATTAATAATATATACCGCCGAGCTAAAAGAATACACCCAATAAGAGGCTGGAATGTAGCCATGGAACATCATGGCAAGGCCGGTTTCGACTATGTGACGATGTTTGCGCTCAACCCACCCGTTTTGTTGAGGGGTGTAGGGACATGAGACTTGGTGAAAAATACCACGGGCGCAAAAAATGTCCTTAACCCGATTATTTAAAAATTCCATACCACCATCACTTTGAAATATTTTTATTTTGGATGAAAATTGTGTCTCCACAAATACAATAAAAGTCTCAAGCACCATGCAAAATTCGGCCTTTGTTTTAAGTGGGTAAAAGCACGTAAAACGAGAAAAATCGTCCATAAAGGTAACATAATAGCGATAACCATCAACCGAGGTAACCGGAGATGGGCCCCAAAGATCGCAATGGACCAAATTCAAAACTTCAATAGCACGTGTATTATTATTATTAAATGGCAAACGATGCGATTTCGCTAATTGGCACGGAGAGCATAAAACCGGCTAAGGTAAAATAGATGTAACAAAAATACGTCCGAGTTTATTTAATAACAAAATGGTGTCAAACGACACATGGCCCAAACGAGAGTGCCATAACTCAAACGACGCCTTGGACCCCCGACTAGCAAAACAAGCACGTGTAGGAGGTTTGGTGGAGAGAACGTATAATCCATGGTCACGCCTTCCTCGGGCTAGCACCCGTTTCGTTTCTCGGTCCTAAATATCACAGTAAAATTTTGAAAAAAGAACATCCACATTATTATCATATGTCAATTTTCTGATCAATAATAAATTTTTGGTGAGTTGCGGAACCACCAAAACATCCTGCAAACGAATCCCAAACGAGAGTGCCATAACTCAAACGACGCCTTGGACCCCCGACTAGCAAAACAAGCACGTGTAGGAGGTTTGGTGGAGAGAACGTATAATCCATGGTCACGCCTTCCTCGGGCTAGCACCCGTTTCGTTTCTCGGTCCTAAATATCACAGTAAAATTTTGAAAAAAGAACATCCACATTATTATCATATGTCAATTTTCTGATCAATAATAAATTTTTGGTGAGTTGCGGAACCACCAAAACATCCTGCAAACGAATCCCATTATTAAGAGAAGAGAATCCAATAGAAGAGATAGGAAGGGTATTACCATTCCCAAAATGGACCGAGCCATCACCATCAAAAGGCACGGGTTGATTAACCAAGGCGAAGGACGAAACCATGTGATCGGAACCACCAGAGTCCACATACCAATCCGGGCCAGAAGTTGAAACATTACATTTGGCTAAAAATGCCTTCACCAAATCCGAATCATTTGCGGGAGGAGAAGATGCAAAAGAAGAGAGTTGAGGACATTGACTTGCATAGTGACCATTATTCCGACAAAGTTGTCAATGAGGGGGACGAAGACCACGACCACGACCACGAGAGGCAGTGGCAGCCGCGGAGGCGCTGGGGGCAGCAGTAGCAGAAAATGCGACGGGTGGGGTGGAGCCACCGTAGAGCGAAGAAATGAACATGTCATAGCCCTCGGCCTTTGCAAGAAGGTCACGAAAGGAGTGAGACATCCCGGAGGCACGTATGACAGAGGAGAAGGCCTCAAATGATCCCCCAAGTCCTCGCAAAAAATGATGATTTTTGTCCTTGTCGTCAACGAGGTGGCCTATAGCGGCTAATTGACCACAAATGGTCTTGAAACGCCTACTAAAATCTGAAACCAAGGCGGAGCCCTTGGTAAGGAGGCGAAGAGTGTCACGAAGGTTATGCACACGTTCCATGGAGGAATCCCCAAAGGAAGCCTCAAGTGCCAACCAAATGGAACGAGCGATGGTGAGGCCAACAATTTCTGAGATGGCCTCCTCGGTGAGAGAGTCTTGAAGCAAAATAACAACCCGTTGATCCGTAGCTAGCCATTCCGCATGAGCCGGATTGAGAATAGGCTTGCCATCAACCACAAGGTGGGATGGCGGGGCTTAAGAGGATCCGTCTATATGATCAAAAAGATTCTGATAAGTAAGGAGAGGGGTCATTTGGTTAACCCACAGCAGATAGTTTGAGGGAGAGAGGCGAATGGTAATGAGGTGAAGAATTGTGTTCATGGGTAGGGTGGTTTCGGTGGAAGAAGACGCCATGGGAGGGGCAGTGGGGTGGTGGCAGATTTCCGATGGAAGGAGGAGAAGGGTGGCAGGAAACCGAAATAGGAGGAAGAAGAAGGAGAATCGGAATTTTAGGGGGTGGGAGGTGAAGGGAGAGAGGCTCTTGATACCATGAAAATGATGAGATTAAAGATGACTCTCCATGACAATGATCATGGGGTTATGCTTTATTTATAGATAAATAATTACAAGGGTACACCACAAATAATAAATATAAACAATTAAATGTATGGTACAACACTTTGGTCTAATACAAGTCACCCATGTCCATATCTTTCTCTACTGAGTCTAATGAGGAAGACTACAACTACTATTTAGGTGATATAAATACTGAAGGAAGAAGCTTCAATTCAATTCTTTCTTATTCTGGTGAGAGGACATGTGTTGGTTTTACTTGTGGACACTTGATCTTATTCGGGAGTAAAACTCATGATTTCTGGCTTCTTGATCCTGTCACAAGGCATGGAGTTCATTTCCCTAATATCCCTTCTTCAGTAGGTGATGATCCAAAAAAAATCAGGGGTTTTCTTGTCTTTTCACCTTCAAAATCTCGGTGGGTGTTTGTTATGACAGATGGATCCGCCAATATATGGTATTCTATATCGGGTCAAGGCGAATGGAATCATGTCTTATCAACTTCTCCTGTTGTTGATTTACATGCTTTCGATGGAAAGATGTATGCCATAGACAACTCTAGTCATTTATGTGAACTGACAATTAATCCTGAGCCTAAGTTATCGATACTTGAAACCAAGAATTCTCCTAACTTTCCCAAACATCAGCAGTTTTATTGCTCGGGTGAAAACCTTTATGTGAGCAGATATTTGCCAGTAGTTGGTCATTACGAATACCACAAACTAGATTTTGAGGAAATGAAATGGGTGTTATGTAAAAGTTCAAGAAAAGCATCATCCAGTAACAACAAGTTGAAGCGTATTGCTGCTGCTAAACAAGGAAAAAGCAAGTTATTTATTTGGCAACATATGGTATACCCCAAAATTGTTTGAATGATAATCGCATAGATAGGCGATGATGACATTTTAGCACACTTTATCCTTTTCATTTTGAATTCTCATGTGTTTAAACTTCTTCAAGATGGTTATGTGTACATCGACAGGTGGCACAACATACTATGAATTTTATCTCTTTTCTATTTGAGTTGGTGTTCTTTGCTCTAAATTTTAGCTAATGCGTTATGTGTAGCACATTTGAATGTTTTTATGCCAAAGAAGGACCTTTTGCTGGTCTTTTCAGCTGAGAAGAAATCACTACTAGAAAAATAGCCTTTTACGACGCTCATTGCGCGTTGTAAAAGGCTCAGACGATGCGCAAATGCGTGTCAAGGAAGGCCATGTCATAAAGAGAGACGACGCGCATTTACGACGCTCATTTACGACGCGCGTTTACGACACGCAATGCGTATCAAGGAAGGCCCTGTCATCAAGGAAGACGACACGCGTGTTAATGACATGCAATGCCTATCAAGAAAGCACCTGTCAAGAAAGACCATGTCATAAATGAAGATGACACACATTTTTGCGTATCGTAAATTTAAATGTTTAAAAAAATTATATATTTATTTATTTTTAAATTAAATTTGCATTTAATTTCTTATAATATAAATAAAATACCAAATACAAAAAATACATTCCATTGCATAATATAAAATAAAATTTCAAACTCAAAAAATAAAATAAATTGCACAAATTATAATATCATACAAAGAATCATTCAAATGTTAAACAAAAATAATACATTGCTAACATGGGTTATACATTCCTATAAAACTAACAAATAATCATACAACTCTATTTCTTACTGGAAAGGAATGCCAAACATGATTACAAGTCTCCGTTAATCTTGATTACTTACCTGCTTAAGTAGAATGCTGTTGTTGAGAAGGTTACCTAGCAACAGAGAAAAATACAACACCTCTCCCACCATCACAACATCATTTATAGAAAAAGGGCTGTCAATTACTTTCATTAAGACTTTCATTCAATCACAAAAACATTAAATAAAAGGGTGAAAAAAATAATATACTTTTGATAAGTTGATCTCCCTTAGAGCAAACACAACTAAAGCATTGAACAAGACCCTAGGGCCTTCTTTTAAAGTAAACACAATGCTCGTCTGCAAAACTGAGGCGATAAAATAAAATTTGAATATTGTTTGGGTAGTTTATATATGATTTGATAATTTGATTTAAAATACAATAAAATAAATCATCTTTTTTGTTACCTTATGGGGGTTGTCAATTCCTGGGATTATAGGTTTTCTTGCTAGTATTAGATAACAAGTTATGCTATCTAAATCATCCTGAATATTCAATATAACAATTGTAAGACAAAAGGAGAAATGTATATTTGAAAATACTGTTAGATGTGATATTTTTAATGTTATCAATCCATAAATTAAGCGCAACAAATAGTTACCTATCTTTTTTAAAAACTTTTATGGGGGTATAATGACCGAAATGACCTTGTATTTATATACATGTCATAACTAACTACTATTTAACATAATATTAAAAGGTATTAATTATAAATTCTTAATTCACCTTATCATCTTTTCATGTTGTGTCTCATGAGCATACACAAGCATCTCAACTGCCTTCTCACTAGCGGTTCCCACCATTAACAACCCCACGCTGATACCCGTAGCTTCACAGCACTGTCTGTGTAGACACATCATACAAAGGAAACAAGTGATTGTGTAGGTTTCCTCTTAATAGAACTTGCACTACTTCATAAAATAAACATATGATAGATTCGCTTGAGCACTTGTAAAATTCTTGCAAGAGCTCCATCGACTTCACTTTCATCCAATTTAGTTTAGATAATTATTTATTACCTCGGCATCTTAATTCTTTACAACTTGAAGCAAAAAATGATATCTTTCCAACAGTATGTTGTCCTTTGTTGGCCGATCAAATCTGGATAAGTTTTAAAAAGATACAAATTAGCAAACATACAAGGCTTTCATTATAAATATGAAAAGTGCTTATAAAATCATTAGTGAAAATACCCGTATTTCTTGGTGATCACTATACAATGGAACAAGAACTGAATAAAATAGTTCCTTACACAGAAGTGTAGACTTTCTTTTTGGACAACATCAGTAACACCTGCAATCAGAGAAGTCTTGTAAGAATACCCCTTTTCCATAAAAATGTTAATGAAACTATGAAAGAAAGGATGGAATTATAAGCATAAGAAAAGTCAAAGTCTTGACTCGCCTTCATCCGTGAAAAGTGCATTGCACAGTGGTCCCTGCATTTTTTTTCTTTTTTATTAAATCCAACAGAAAAAGAACCATCCATAAATTAGAGAAATAGCTTAAACAAACATACAGGGTCATACTGTTGTCTGTGCTGAGTGGAAGGAAGAGAATGAAAATCTGCATCCAGAACCGCAATCAGATTGTTCAGTGAAACTGAGTAACAACATAACAGCCACAACATCAACACATGTTATTGAAATGACAAAACTGCCCTTCACAGCATCAAAAACAACCCTTTTTTCCTTCTCTATGTCAGAATCTAACATGTTTATACCCTCAGAAGTCGATCCTGGTGTAGGTGTTTGATTGTTTTTAAAGTAATCAGTTCACTTTCGTGACCCACACTGCCTGCATAGGAGGCTGTCCACCAAAAGTTGATGTAGGATTCCCAAATATCAGATGCAGAACAACAAGTTCTAAATAGGATTCCCATCTTTAAACTCTCCATCCAGTAATTGAAGGACCTTCATCTGGCTCTAAATAGGATTCCTTGGATTCTATCCTATTTTCGGTGAAAAATGTAGGAAGCAGCTTAGTCTGGAAACGAAGCTGCAGGGATGTTGTACTATGCGCATCAGAAGGAGATCTATAATAGAAAAAAGAAATGCACAACTATTATATATACACACACTGTAAATCTCATTTTATGCTCAAGCATGCATCGAAGTCTTTTTACAGAAATATGTAGCGGAGATGAAAAGCGTACACCCATGAAAATGAGAAAGAGACACAACCTTGGTAATGTACCAAAGATCTGTTGAGATGGAAGTTGCACCCCATCTTGCACCTATCAGAAAGAAAGTAAATGTTAATAAAATCAAAGGATCGTATGATAAGCAAATACTTTGCCAACTAGATTCATAAGTTCAGAAAGAAGACATGGTAGTTGTTGGAAATTAGTGGTTATTTGCAAGTAGCTAAGTTTTCATTATCCCACATTGGTGGGTGGATGAAAATAAAATGTGCTTATAAGTTTTTTCTCCTGTTAAGCATTCAAAGGCCTTAATTCTTGTTGTTCGCATCCATTTTGTGTTGGTTTATGCTTTGTATCTAATAAGCTTAATGTCAAATTACCTTAATTCCACTAGTTAAACCATGCGTAGTCAGTGATTTCAACTTCTTACGAGGTTTGCTTGAAGTAGACTCCTGAATTTCCTTTAATTCCTAAACAAAATCACAAACAGTTCATTGACTTTCTGTCATTTTCTTTAAATAACCAAATGTACCCCCACTTGCATGTAAGCAAAATGAAGGGAGAAGTAAGAAAAAATTAGAAAACGGATTTTTCTTTCATTTGTTATGTATGAGGATCTATCATCTAATAAGGACATTAGTTTTGTTAAAAGATAATAGCTCATAAAGATAATGGCCACAACATTGAAGGCATTTGATGGAATAACTAACAGAAGCATAAAAGGATAATCAAACTCCAGTAATGTCTTGCATAGACCATTTACAAGAGTTAGATGAAAGCCAGATTCAAAGTGAAGTTCCATAATTTTTTAGGCATTTCTTTTTGAAGGACAATAAAAGGGTTGTAGCTTTCCTCAGTCATGTTTGTGACTCGGGGAAAAAGCCAGACATATATGTGATGAAATACTAAACTCATCACTTCATCTAACAAGTTCATATTTTCAACAGATGCAACTTATTTTGACATGTAGTTGTAAATTAGTGTGTTATTGGGTGGGAGTGAGTTAATTTCCATCACAATGAAAGATTTAAAATCTTTTCTTTTCTGAGAAATTAAATATCCTTCTACATTTTCTTCCTACAACATTTAAGATGGGTAGGAGGATATTTAACTTCTCTTTCTTTTATATTCTAAACGTAATATTCAATTACCTTTATTGTTGTTTCACTAAATTTAAACGATGTGGAAGATTTCATCGTCTCCCCAAGCAGGCTTGATGTGAACTCCAATGTTTTATCTACAGAAGATGATTTTGACATCTCTGCAATCTTATAAATGTCCTCCTATTAATTTTTCATAAACACCAGAGCCAGTTAACAAAACCCAATCATTACACTACATATAACAGAATTAGCATCACGTACAAAAAGGTTCTAGATTACAATGGTTTATTGGACCTTGGATAATCTTTTCACTTATGTAAACTTACAAAAGTATCATATGTATAAGGCAACAAAAATGGGGACTTGAGATGTATATTAATCATAGAGATATTATTGTAACAGTGGAAAGCCATAAAATCAACTATTATGATAAACCAAGTCACAATAATCCAATTCATCCTATACCAATTGCATAGGCAGGGATATGGTAAAAGATATGTAGGCCTTCCATATGTTTCACAAATGGAGAAGGTTGGAAGGTTGAAAGGTTAAGTACCTTCAACAATTACAATAGCAATGACAGAGCCACCACAGGTAGGGTCAAAGGCAACTGCAGTAACTCTAGAACCCCATGCAGTTGTTGCTGCTAATTGCGCTGAAGCTTTAGGACTCACATATGCAGAAAAATTTGAAACAAGAGAACAATGAAGGGCAACCATGTCACTATAATCTTGCTCTGTTAGTTTCTTCACTTGTTTACTTTCTGAATCAGAGTATTGCTGCCAGCTAAACAAATAAGAAGCCAATGAAGCAAAACCATCCCAAGAAGGTGGAGTAAGTGAAGAAGGGATCCCATTGGTGGTGCTAGTCTTTGGATTTGCTTGAAATCCATTCCCAAATCCAGGAGTCACCTTTTACAAATAATTGCTGAAGAGATATCAAACTTTCAAGATTTTCCATTAAACTTTTCTTTACATCATCACTAGAAGACTTTAGTGCAGCCTTCAGTGTTGATTTACAATCCATCCCAAGCACCTCAGCAAGTGTTAAACCTTTGTCATTCAACTCATACTAGAAGTCATTTCCTAGTTTCAACCTAAAAATTCAACAAGAAAACAAAAAATTAATAAGGGTTGTGATAAAGATGATTCATATGTCAAAAAAGTGTACCTCCTCATAGTCTGGCTGCATTTGATCTGAAGTGCCTCAAGCTCCTTTAAATTTGTCCCTATGACAACATTAGGATCCTAACATTTCTCCTCCCATTGGTTCCTTTCAATCTCTGCCTCTCCTATATCTCTTTCCACTGATTGTAACTCTCTCTTCATCTTTTCTTCATTTCTTAAATTCAAAGTCTGTTTGTACTGCTTTCGATAAGTGCAATTGGGTTAGAAGGTATCTACAATCAATCATGAGTTATAATCATGAATAAAGGATATGAAATCAAGTAAAGGTTTAGAGATTTTCATATTTCATAATTCATATCAGTATTCATATTTCATAATTCAAGAAGAAAGAAACAGCTCTGATAAACTTCATGTAAGAAAAATAGAAAAATAATATATACCTTTTTTAAAGGAACCATGTTTGGGATACTCACACTTCTGGTTCGAAGATGGGGTTCAAGAATATGGAAGCTTATGCTGGTAAGAGTGTGAAGCAGTGGTGTGATTTTAATAGTGGTGTGTATCTGTGATTGCAACACAAAGAAGGAGGAGTGTGGTGGCTGACCGATGTTAATAGAGAATAATGACGACGGAAGGTGGTGGTGGACCTGGTGGTGCATTTCAGGTGCGGTATAGTCTGGTGGATGAGTTGGTGGCGGTGTTCATTGTGTTGGAGGGATTAGGGTTTCTAGAGTGAGAGACGAAAGGGGAAATTGGGGTAAACATCTGCAGAAGGAAGCATGTAATCAAGATCTTTGAAGAAGCGTATCTAGAAGGAAGCAGGTCAAGGAATAGTGCAAGAAAACTATTGGCAAGTATTCTCAAGAACAACAGAGAGATGAAGAAAGTGAAATTATAGCAGCGATGAGGTAGATGAGTGGAAATCAGAAGCCCTTTTTCTTGATTGAGATGATGAAGTCGAGAGATGGAGATGAAATCGTAACCTTCGATCTTTGATTGAGAAGTTACACAACAGTGTGAGGAGAATGGAAGATGCGTGAAAATGCTTAGGGCAGGGAGGGTAGCGGGCTTTTCTAATTTTTTGGCTTTTCTTTTCCCGACACCTACAGATGATGCGCGTTTAAGATATAGCGCCCTCCGTGTTTTTAATTTTTTTTTTTTTTGACACTAATTTAAAGGCACGCAATAATGTGTGACCTAAATCCTTAAATTTTCTGAAGAGATAACACTTTTTTAATGTCACTCTCGTTTGCGTAACATAAATTAATGAGTGAATGTAAAAGGCTATTTTTCTAGTAGTGAATGTTATTGAGAATGGTGGCGCCAGTTGATATAGTAATTCTTAAATGTATTATTTTTGTCATTTTAGAATCAGATCAAATTGGGTAGCCTCTTCCAAATAGATGAGATTGTCTACTTTCATTATTTGAGATTGTCTGCTTTCATTATTTAGCGTGATCAGAAGGAAAATTAAATCCCTTTTTTTCGAGTATTGAAACTAGGTATTTTCTTAATATAAAGAGGTGAAAATGACTTAAAAGCCCAACGAAATTTCCAAACCATTCAAAAAACCCCAATCATTTTTTGTCTATTAAAAAAAACCCAACAAACTTAACATTTTGTCTAAAAAGTCCAACAAAGTTTCAAACCGTTCAGAAAATTCCAATTTTGTTTTGTTTAAGTTCGTTGGGTTTTTTTTTTTGAACAGTCAAAACATGATTGGAGTTTTTTAAACGTTTTGGAAACTTCATTGGTCTAACAAGTCATTTTTCCGATACGGTAATAAGTCACGTCATTTGTTTCTCTTATTTGACTTTCGAGAAACTGTAACTTAGTTGGGCTTTTTAGATAAAATGTTAAGTTTGTTGGGTTTTTTTGAACAGACAAAACATTATTAAGGTTTTTTAAACGGTTTGGAAACTTCGTTGGGCTTTTAAGTCATTTTCCCTATAAAGAGACTAATTATGATACATCACATTTTATCTAGTTTTTCTAGATCTTTTATCTTAACATCAGTGATACATGAGATTTCATCCCAGGCATAGAATTCGAGGTTGTGCCCGGAATGAATATATCATCCATGGACAAAAGACACACTGCCATATAGTATGTTGAACTTTATACGTGTACCTATGGTAAGGCTATGTAGAGTGAGTTAAATTCCCACGTGTTAGGTGACATGGAAAGGCCAAGTCACACAGGCGTTTGCTCCAACCCTGTCCATTGTAATGGCTGGTGACTCCTACTGTGGAAGCTCATGATCTCTCTCCTTCCTCCCTCCCTTTCTCTTTCTCACTCTACTTCTCCCCTTCTATGTCTCTTTCTTCCTAACTAACCTGCATCCAAACACCATTTCCTATATCTTGTAAGAAGTTAGTGGCTACATTTGTTAGCTCATGTGGCACTCCGTATAGCCTAATGAAAAACCAAAAGCCATGATGTCACGACCCCCCTTGCTGGTGTTAGTTCTTTGAAAGTAAATTTGAGGGATGTCTCTTTATCAAGCAATTTGTTAAGTTAAAGATACTATGTTAAGCTCCTAAAACTATCGGGAACATTTTGATATAAAAGAAAGACAGAAGCCAAGTTTTGAGAATTAAAAGTGTAAGGCCCCGTTTGTAATAAAAAGAAAGTTGTAGGGCAATTTTCGTAGTTATATACCTAGGCCGTTATCTTTTAGGTGTTGTTTGTTTTTTGGCAAACTTCTTGGCCTCTTCTGGTATTTGATCGAGAGTTGTGCAAACTCTGTGCCGATGACAAGTCATCATTATGGCTGGTACTTATCCCGACGACATGTCATCGCTACAAGTAATTAATAAAACTTTTTTTTTCTAAAATATGCTCGACGTAACGTGTACATGTACCGATGAAATATCGTCGATTTTGACATATCCCAACATGACTATGACTATGTCTATGCCTATGCCGACGAACTGTCGTCAGTTTACCTCATGCCGACGATATGTTGCAGTACAAGGGTCAAAATTTGTCATTGACGCACGGATTAATGTTGTAGTATGTTCCCACAGATGAAGAACACATTTTAAATGAAAATGAGAGAAATAAAATATCGATGTGGTATAAAATGTTATATTTAGTAGGTATTTATGTTTAATAAAAACAAAAAGAAAATCAAAAAATAAATAGAGTTATTTGCTTAAAAGGGATGAGACTCAAGAGACGTGAGAACAAACTACCGAGTTGGGCTCAAAATCTCGACATGCCAAACATAGGGGTAGAGTTTGGCGAGCTATATTGCCATTACCGAGTCCACTATCATGGGTGGGTCCAAGTAAAAAAGATAATAACAACGCAGATTGAACCAAACGAGATGGACATTTACGTAAATTACTTTTCTTTTTGGGAATTAGGTGGCAAAAGTTGATGAGGAGATCTTGGGGCACTTAGCCAAATTTACGGCAAAATGGAAATATAATCCAGATCAATGAATTTGTTGCTCACATATAATCATTTTAAAACCCTAAAACAATTTGAAGAAATCGGCGTGGAAGGGCAGCAGTAGGGGCAAATTACCAAATTCGCAAAGGTACACTTTTGTGTTTCCATCCACGATCGAGGCATGCATTCATCGCGAAACTTAGAATAAATCAAGGTTTATGCATGTATTCTAATAATCGAATACCTCAAAAATACTCATCATCTTATAAGTTTGAAAATGGCTCTTGTTTTCCCAAGGCGTGATTTATATGTACAACAAAAGACTAGAAAATCATCACTGCAATATGTTCTTTGTTATTGTAGTTCTGTTATATCTGCTCCTACACAATCTGAAGTTATCTGCATAAGAGGTACTTTTTTGAGTGCTTAAAACAAATTTTATCCACCAATATATGGTATTCTATATCGGGTCAAGGCGAATGGAATCACGTCTCATCAACTTCTCCTATTGTTTATTTACATACTTTCAATGGAAAGATGTATTCCATAGACAACTCTGGTCATTGATGTGAACTGAAAATTAATCCTGAGCCTTCTCCTAACTTTCCCAAACTTCAGCAGTTTTATTGCTCGGGTGAAAGCCTTTATGTGAGCAAATATTTCCCAGTAGGTCATTACGAAATACGAATACCACAAACTAGATTTTGAGGAAATGAAATGGGTGTTATGTAAAAGTTGAAGAAAAGCATCATCCAGTAACAACAAGTTGAAGCATATTGCTGCTGCTAAACAAGGAAAACGGAAGTTATTTATTTGGCAACATATGGTATACCCCAAAATTGTTTGAATGATAATCATAGGTAGGCGGTGATGACATGTTAGCACTCATTATCTTTTTCATTTTGAATTTTCGTGTGATTGAACATTTTCAAGATGGTTATGTGTACATCCCCAGGTGGCACAACATACTATGAATTTTATCTCTTTTCAATTTGGGTTGGTGTTCTTTGCTCTAAATTTTAGCTAATGCGTTATGTGGAGCACATTGAAATGATTTTATGCCGAAGAAGGACCTTTTGCTGGTCTTCCTTGTCGGGTAGAAAATGTTATTGAGAGTGGGTTAAATTCCCACTTGTTAGGTGACTTGGCAAGGCCAAGTTACGCGTGAGTTTGCTCCAAACACCACCCCTAACCTCATCCGGGTACCATCAGGTCAGGGTTAGGGAGGACGACATGGAGAAGACTGTGTTCCAGATTTATTATGGACATTATGAGTTTGCGATGATGTCGTTTGGGTTCACGAACGTGCCGAAAATATTTATGGACCTAATGAATCGGGTCTGCAGACCGATGCTTGATCGCTTAGTCATCATGTTCATAGACGATATCTTGGTGTACTCCAAGACCCGAGAGCAACATGAGGAGCATCTTCGGAAGCTATCAGGAGTTTTGAGGTGAGAGCGGCTATATGCCAAGTTCTCGAAGTGCGAGTTTTGGTTGCGAGAGGTTCAGTTCCTTGGGCACCTCGTTAATCAGGAGGGGATTTTGGTCGACACGGCCAAAATCCAGACATTTATGCAGTGGGAGGTTCCGAAATCTCCCTTGGATATTAGGAGTTTCTTGGGATTAGCGAGGTACTACTGGTGATTCATACAGGATTTCTCCAAGATTGCAGTACCCCTCACTCGTCTAACGAGGAAGGGGTGGATTTCCGATGGGGCCCTAAGGAGTAGAAGGCCTTTGAGACCCTCCGACATCGACTTTGTGAGGATCTAGTCTTGACTCTCTCGGAAGGAGTTGAGTATTTTTTTTTTGTGTTCTGGATGCATCCATCACAG